GATGACTCAGCACTCATACTGATGACTCAGCACTCATACAGATGACTCAGCACTCATACAGATGACTCAGCACTCTCACTGATGACTCAGCACTCATATAGATGACTCAGCACTCATACAGATGACTCACTCAGCACACTCGCAGATTACTCAGCACTTTTACAGATGATTCGGCACACTCTCTGATGTTTATAGTTACTCATGCTTTTTTAATTCGGCTACTTTCACCTGCAAAGAACAAAATGTTCAGCTCATTAAGGAATTCACAGATGTTTATTTTGTTTGTTTGTTTGGTTTTTTTTGTTAGTGTTTTTTCTCATAGATGTGCTTGATGATTTATTCCAATACTTGGAAACTTTGTGCTTTTTAAATGACTTTAGTGTACCGGCTTCATTATTAGCTTTTAGCTACCAGCTGCTTTCAGCTGCAAGACAAAATATTTTAGCTTTTGTTATTCGGTTTTAGCTTTTTTTTATCTCTTTACTGTTAATTTAGCTTCTGTTTCTGCAACAGTTTTTGAAAAACAAATTAATTTAGTTTCTGTTAATTTTGATTTATTTATTGTCAAATAAATAAATGTTATTTTAATTTTCTTTCTGTTGATAAATAATTTCATTACAGCTTTGAATTTACTGTTTTTAATGTTGTTGGTATGAAACAAACATAAATGTTGTTTAGTAAACAAACTAAACGTCCCCTGCAGGCCTCAGGCACTCATGATGTCATGGATGGAGGTCAAAGGTCATCGAGGATTGCTGAGGCAGCTGTTTTTCACCAGATGGTCCAGGAAGAGTCCAGAGACCTGGACGTGGATCTGGATCTGGACCTGYACRTGACTCCACAACATGGTAGAGAACTGTAAAACACGACAGTTGTCACCCTGAAGGTCAGACTGTGTAATCCTCAGAGGCCTGAGCCCCTCTCGGACCCTGCAGGCCTCAYAGGGTCAAAGGTCAGGACTYAACATGTTCTTGTGTTTTTAGAGGACCTTGTGTTTGTGGAGAACCGGACCGTCCCGTCTCGCTCCGCCTCCCGGCTCAGCTACTTCTCCTGTGGTGCTGGAGGTCCCAGGGAAGGCAGCAGCTACCTGCCCGGCCTCGATGACTCGGATCCAGAGGACGATCCCTACCAGCGGTACCCGGTCTATCCTCTCCACCCGGGTCCCTGCAGCCACACGTCTCAGGAGGGTCTGGACTCACCGAGCCCAACGCCTCAGGTCTTTAATATCACTGATTGTATTTATTGTGTTTCTGTTTTAAACCGCTCCACACCTCAGACCCTCCTCATCGTCAGACTGAGTGATGAAGAGGAGCCAGCTGCTGCCTTCGTTACATCAGAGTCTATTTCTGGCTTCAGCTGTAACCCTGAGAAGATTCTCAGGATCTGCTGCCTCTGTCCTCGCTGGAAGCCGATAAACAACTTTATTTACTTCGCTGAGTCAGAACCAGGACTCCTCCGGTTTCTGGGTTCACGTCTGGATCAGAACTCCATCCAGGCCAGAACYGGTTCCTCGTATCTGTTGAAGACCAGGACTGAAGGACAGTGGATGGACAGCAGCTCTGGACAAATTAATCTCATTTAMCTGTTAATTTGTCTCACAGCTGGCCGACACGCCGCAGTGAGACCGAGGKAAACAGGAACCCAGACATGTGCCTGTCACTCATCAGCATTTGGCCGCCACTTTCTGATTGGCTGCCAGGTTTCAGCTTCCTCAGACGACTCGTCACGCTCAAGTGTAGATCTGGAAGCCGTTCAACCAGTAGACTCAAGTGACAACATCGTGTTTTCTGAAGGAGACATTAGGATGAGTCAACAGAATCTGAGGAGACTAAATCCACATGTTTACATGTTTATTAGGAGAAACAACAAAAGCCAATCAAAAGTGGCCAAATGCTAGCTAAGTGGTAAAAGGTCAGCCAAAAGTTGTAAAATTCTAGTTAAAAGTACTGAATGCTAGCCAAAAGTGGTAAAATTTTGGCAAAAAATTGTAAAATGGTGGCCAAAAGCAGTAAAATGGTGGCTAAAATTGGTAAAATGCTAGCTAGAAGTGCTAAAGGTTAGCGTAAAGTGGTAAATGATTGGCCAAAAGCAGTGCAATGGCAGCCAAAAAGGTAAAATGATGGCCAAAAACCATAAAATGCTAGTTAAAAGTACTGAATGCTAGCCAAAAAAGGTCAAATGTTAGCCAAAATTGATAAAATGCTAGCTAAATGTACTAAAGATTATTGTAAATTGGTAAGACTGGTCAAAAGTGCTAAAATCTTGACCAAAAATGGTAAAAAAAATTAAAATAAAAAAATGGTCAAAAAAGTTAAAATGCTAACAAAAAGTGTTAAAATGTTGGCCAAAAATGGTAAAATGCTTGCAAAAAGTGGTAAAATGCTAGTAAAAAATAGTATAATTGTAGCCAAAATTGATAAAATGCTAGCTAAAAGTACTATAGATTAGCATAAAGTGGTAACAGATTGGCCAAAAGTGACAAAATGGTGGCCAAAACAGGTAAAATGATGGCCAAAAGCCATAAAATGCTAGTTAAAAGTACTGAATGCTAACCACAAAAGGTCAAATGTTAGCCAAAATTGATAAAATGCTCGCTAAATGTTCTAAAGATTAATGTAAAGTGGTAAAAGACTGGCCCCAAAAGTACTAAAATATTGACCAAAAAGGGTAAAAAATAATAAATAAAAATAAAAACAGGTCAAAAATGGTGAAATGCTTGCGAAAAGTGGTAAAATTCTAGTCAAAAATGGTAAAATCATAGCCAAAATTGATAAAATTCTAGCTAAAAGTACTATAGATTAGCGTAAAGTGGTAACAGATTGGCCAAAAGTGACAAAATGGTGGCCAAAACAGGTAAAATAGTGGCCAAAAACAACAAAATGCTAGTTCAATGTACTGAATTCTAGCCAAAAAATGTTAAAATGATAGACAAATTTGATAAAATGGTAAAAGACTGGCCAAAACTGGTGCAATGCTAGCCTGGTGTTTTGTCAGATATGGTCCGTGAGGATAAAAATATAAGGAATGCATTAAAATCTGTTGTTTCTGGTTTCTTCCAGATCACTGACCTGAACAGACGGATGTCGGCGGTCGAGACTCTCCTAAATCACTTAGAGCTGAAGGTCACCACAACAGACAACCAGGTGAAATAACTCCCTGATGACAAGCAGCAGGTCATCACAGAAGCTCAAACTAAAACATGCTAACTGAAATTCACAAACAAACATGAACCTTTTCAGTTTTCAAATTTGAACTTTTATAATAAATGAACTGAAAATCGTAATGTTCAGGACTGGTTCATCTCTGTTCTGTTCTCTCACAAGAACTGGGCTCCGAGCCCACAGAGCCCAGCTGCTCCTCCTCCTCAGTGGGAGGAAGTGGACATCGAAGAGCAGCAGCTCCGACAGAAACTGGACCAGCTGACAGACAACATCAGCGACAAAAGTTCTGATGAAGACGAGTCCAGCGGTCCACAGTCCTCCGAGGAGGTCCCAGCWCAGAGAAGCCCTCAGGTGGACCTCAGACTGTCCAGAATCCCCACCAGACCCACATCCAGATCCCCTCAGGAGCAGCGCCCCCTGCAGGAGGCATCGATGAACATCAGAGGCTCCACAGCTTTACTCGTGGAGCTGGAAGACAAAGTGGCTCAGGCTGCAGCCGACGTCCAGAACGTCCAGAGTCAGGTCCGGCGCTTAAAGAAGCTAAAATAAATCAATTTATTTAAATCAATAAATTTTATCTTTTTTAATCTGCAGGTTTCTTACATCGAGAACCGGATCGCCGCTCTGAACACAGCCGAAGCACCGCTGGAGAAACGAAGACGAGTAACGAGATTTAATTTATGTTGTAATTCCAGACGGTCGAGTTCAAGCAGTGCTGAKACATAACAATMTTTTTTATTTCGGCTGAGATAAAAMACCAGAGTGTGAAATCAGCTGAGGTAAACGTAAAGCCAATAGACATAAAGTTAGCTAAAAGGCAAAAGTAGCAAAATGCTGCCTAACAGTAGCTGTAGAATCATTCAAAATGGCACAAAAAACAGCTACAGTAGTAAAAAAATAAAAATAAAATTGGCTAAAAGCAGCAAAAAGTCAAAATGTRGCATAAACCTTGCTAAAAGTAGCAAAATGCTAGCCTAAAATTAGAAACACCAGGTGAAGCTATGTATGGCAAAAAGTTAGCTGGAAGTAACAAAGGCCTAACTTTAAGCTAAAAGAAGAAAGGTGCCAGCAAAATGTTACAAAGTWGCAAACTGTTAGCTAAAAGGTAAAATTAGCATTTTACAGCTAAAAGTAAGAAAAGGCTAGGTAAAAGCTAATTGTAGCAAAAGGCTTTCTAAAAGCTGGAGGTAACAAACGCCTAATTTAAAACTATGAGAAGAAGAAAAATGTTAGCTAAAAGTAGCAAACGGCTATTTGATTTTAAGAAAAAAACAGCTTTAAGCCACTGAAGTAAAACAGTAGCTAAAAWATAAAAGCAGGAGGAGGTTAGCTAAAAGCAGCAGAAAGCTTAAAGTGACAGTGGTCAAGTTAAAAGCTAATGTTAGCATAAGAAGATGAAGAGAGGCTGTCCACTGAAGGTTTTAATTTATTTTTAGATCAATAACTGTTAATAATTCAGACATTTCGGCTGATTTAGCAGCAGAGTTTTTTCTGTCTTTAATTAAAGATAAGCTGAGATGTTTTCTGACGTTTTTGTTTCTTTGTTCTCAGTCAGCGATCCCGATCCAAGCCAGACGACTTTCCCACAACTTTCCCACAAGTAAGAGCCTGCCTCGCTCCGGCCTTTTCCTCGGGGTCTTTTAAACSACATCTTAACCTCGTTAGTCTGAGGACACGACGCTCTGCAGAGCGAACCTGCGTCCCGTTGTCTCTTCATGGAGTCGGACCAAAAACCACTTCAGATAAACGCTGCAGCTGGGATTAGTCGACAAATTGTTCTCCTCAGGATCCCAGCAGTCAGACCTGAACCCAGACACACGTGAGCTTTTATTGTGAAGAATAATAGTGTTTGGCTTTTAAAAAGATAAAAACATCTTCTATGAAGTATTTAAAAATGAGTCTTCTTTAAAGTTTCTGGATCTTTACAGGTTCAGAAACTCATAAATCTCTGATAAGAAGCTTCAGGGCTGACGTCAGGCCTGCAGCTAACTAATCTGKTGGATCCAGACCAGGTCTGTCTGGATCTGAACCATAAAACCAGTAAACTGAACCAGAATGTGCTCCTTATTTTCAACACATTCATTAAGTTAAACTTCTCTTTTAAGGATTTTCCACCTGAATTCCATCCATGAGCGCTGACATTCAATCATTTTTCTTTCTCTAAGATTTATTTTAAAATTGTCATTATTTTGTGCTAAAAAAGACTAAAACATATTTATTAAACCAGTAACTGAGAGATGGAAAAAGAAATAGTTTGCACAAAAATAAGTGCTGATTTTCAGAAGTTGAACCTTCATCATGCAGCTGAACGGCTCGCCGGTTCAAACTGAGAGTTAATTAGCAGTTGTTAGCAAAGCTAACCGAAACGTTTGCTTTGCTAACTCATAATCAGCTAACTAAGAATATAGCTTTGCTAACGATAAACTGCGGGAGTTCTCTATAGGGTGTCGTTTGTAAAGTTACACAGTCAAAAATTACCACCAATATTTTTGTTTTATTTAGACTTTTATAAGAAAAAAAGAACAGATTTATTTTTCAAAATTATTTTTTCTCCATATGATTCGTACATCTGTAAATGTCATAGTTTATAAACTAAATATTTAACTTACAAATTAAATATTTAGTTAACAAGATAAATATTTAGGTTGTAACTAAAATATTTAGTAGCAAGTTAAATATTTCGGTAGGTAGCTAAATATTGAACTTGCAACTTAAATATTTAGCTAGCAAGTTAAATATTTAGGTAGGTAGCTAAATATTTAACTTGCAACTTAAATATTTAGTAGCAAGTTAAATATTTAGGTAGGTAGCTAAATATTTATCTTGCAACTTAAATATTTAGCTAGCAAGTTAAATATTTAGGTAGGTAGCTAAATATTTATCTTGCAACTTAAATATTTAGCTAGCAAGTTAAATATTTTGGTAGGTAGCTAAATATTTAACTTGTGACTTAAATATTTGTTTTGAGCTAAATATTTATGTTGCAAGTTAAATATTTAGCTAACTAACTAAATATTTAGGTTGCAACTTAGGTTCTGTAGAGGTGGACGTACAGAAAGATAAACGGACCAAACTTCAGAGGTCAGGACCAGGAGCTTTGTTTGTTTCCTTTACAACAAAGGTTTAGTTATTATTTAAATGACTCGATGGATAAGTTTGGAAATTTGCGTCACAAGTTCTTAAAAAGCGTTGAGTTCTGCAGCTGTGTTCTGTGTTTRCAGACCAGGTGGACTCGTTTGTCAGGAGCTCTGTCTGCAGGGGCTCCCTGACCCAAAGGACCCCCGTGGCAAAGCCCCAAACCCGGGCTACCTGTGCGGTACGACCCCCGTCTGGTGCCGGGGCGCCTCTGAGAGTTCACCTCCAWCCAGCTGACATCAGGGAGCAAAAACTGTTCAGATCTGATGAGTCGCATCATCTTTACTTCTTAAAACTGGGGATCTCAGAAGAGGGTTGGTCAGTCAGTGTCTTACCTGCAGCAGAAACTCTCCTGATTAAAACTTACAGTTGGAGGTGAACTCTTGGTTTTCAGATCAGGTTCTGACCTCTAATCAAGGATTTTACTGTGATTTATTCTGATTGATCTTTTCTGCTTCAAACACTTTGTTTAAATCAAATCATCTCTGTTGTCCTGAAAATATCAGAGTTAAACAAGTTTCAGGTAAAMTTATTTACAGAAAAAATAAAAGATCAGGAGGCTGAACAGAAAACCTGTCAAAGTTTAAATATTTTTGAAATTTCTCAGAAAAATGGATGAAAATAAAACAAATCCACAAATATGGAAAAGTGGATTCAAAGTCAAGCTAAGATTACCCAACTCTGTAATCCTTTCAAAATAAAACTAATAAAAAAATAAACGCCTATCAAAGTTAAAGATGCATGAACTTTAACTCTGATCTSTTTAACCCAACGACTCACCTGAGTTCTAAAGGAACCCAAACGGTCCTCAGAACCTTCAGCTTCTGTCTTTTCTCCTCCAACAGAAACCGATGATGACTCCGGTCTGATGAAGAGGAGGCTGAGCGCCGTCGATTGATCAGGACCAATCAGAGAACAGATTAGATTTGAATGATTTCATGTATTTACTCAGATTTATCAAGTCTTTTATTCTAATGATTTATTTATATTTTAATTGTAATGATTTATTTACGTCTTAATCCTAACTAATGATTTATCTGTTTCTAATCCTAGCCTGGTCAATAATCTGATGTTTAATCTGCTGCTGCTCCTCTGGGGTGTAAAAGTTTTCAGCTGGTCTTTGGATCACAGGAAGTTATTTTCAACACCTGGTTCCAACCAGAACCAGACTCAGATCCAGGAACTGGTCCGTGTGAGGCTCCTCAGGTCCCACTGGATCCAYTCAGCTGAGCTCTGCGTTTTTCACAGATTAGTGATGTTTCCTGATCAGATTACAACCAGCAGCTGATAAAAGCTGTTTGATTCACTCAGGAAACAACAAGTGTTGATCAGTTTTAATAATTTAAAGTCAGACCAGACTCTGAGGGTCTTCAGAGCCCACCGCCCCACCTCCCAGGTCAGTTTACACTGAAACACAGGAAAGAGGCGGAGCTACAGACATGAGCAGCCAGTGGTTCAGGAGATATTTTACTAACAGACACACAGAAACTATTTCTCAGACAAAATCCTAAAAACAAAACAAAAACGTCTGAAAGATCCTCAGAGTCTGCAGATCCAGATCCGTTTGATCAGAACCGGACCAGAACCAGACCATCGGTAAAAATCTGTCTGAAATATTTTTGTTTATTTAATGTTTTAT